ATTGAAGCAAGAGAAGATATCAATACGGAGTTGTAAAGTTTTGTGTACTTTTAAATGATGATAGTTTTGATAATAGTTATATATAGTTTTGACTAAATGTTGATAGTCAACTTTCCCGCAATATCAAAAAATTTAAGACAATAAACTCTTCTTGATCATCTTATTTTATATTTTGCTGATGCAACAAAAAGATTTTTACATCTAAACCATTAAAAAGCTTTAATTTTAGTTAGTGAATATCGATAACTAAGTTTAAATTGGTGAATATCGATTAATATAACATACACTCCATTACTTGAAGCGTAAAAAAAAAAATTTTTTTTCCGTAGTTGTAAACTAAAGCAAAAGTACTTCTTTTTAAAAAAATAACATAGAATTTTTATAAAACCTTTATTTCAACTTAACATTGGCTATTTTTCTGTATGACCTTTAATATTAATTATAGGTAGTGGTTGGACAAATATTTTTTTGACATCTTTATTTAAATATTAAGACATTATTACTGGAAAGAAAAGAAGAGGTTTGATAAAATTTTTCGAATCAAACTTTTCAAAGTGAAAGTGATCAAACTTTTCAAAGTGATTTCGAATTAGATTGCAAGAATTTCGTGATTTTTGATTAAAAATTATAATTTTACATTGTTTTGATTTCCTAAATAAATTCCTTTTACACACTCGATTTTGTTTATTTTACACAATTTTCATTCATCGTTTTAATTCCTGCCGATTGCTAAATTTCGCCTAATTGTTTTACATATTTGTGCAAGATTAGATATCCAAAAGGGGGGGGTGAGCAACACATTCTGGAATGTCTCACGATCAGAATTGCATTTAAAATCCTCCTCGAGGTTTGTCTGCCACGGTTTTCACCGACGATAATAATAATGCCTTAAACCAGGACAATGTTGTAAACCATCCTCGCTGCCGCAACCGATTAAATCGCGGGGTCTTTTGTATGAACCGGTGGTTGCGGTCACGGATATCAGAGCTGTTAATTACACAGCATTAAGTGGGGTATAAGTCGTGTCTAGCCTCCACACAAATTAGTTTTCTATGTGAAAAGCCTTTTAAGTATAAGTTAGATAGATGCTCAAAAACATTGTTATTAACATCATTGTTATTATTGTTTTCAGGAAAAGATAGTTTTTTTGTTGAATTTTAATTGTTTACTCGAGAATATACGTGGTTTGGTTGTTTGGCGAAATTTAGTAATATTTTATTAAGAAACTGTTTGAGATCTTTGCTTTAGACGCGTTAATTGCTCATGCTACTCTATTTAGTCATGATTAAGAAATTTTAAAATTATAAAAATTCTTAATTTCATAAAATTAATTTTAATTTAGCCTATTGAGGACTACTAAAGTTAGCTCCAGCATTTCAGATTTATAAGATTTTTTTTTTTTTTTTTTGCTGGCTTCTTATTTCTTTAAGGAATCATTAGATAGAATATATTAGATAGATGCCCAGCAACATTGTTATTACTATTATTATTATTGTTTTGAGAAAATGGTAGTTTTAATTGTTACATTTTAATTGCTTACTCAAGAATATTCGTGGGATATTTGTCTGGCATATTCAGTAATATTTTATTGAGATACTGATTAAGATCCTAGCTTAATATTTGAAGCGTCTTACATGCATTAATTGCGCTTTCTACTCTATTTAGTCATGGTTTAAGAACTTACAAATTATAAAAAATCTCACTTTCATTATTTTTTTAAAAAAATATTTAAACCATTGAAGCTAAAGTTTTTCTTCAACATTTGAGATTTTTACAAAAAAAAGTTTTTTTCATTGCTTTACGGAATAATTAAGTTATCATCAATTGACATAAAAACTGAATTCCTTGCGACTTCAAAACGAATTAATTTTCGGTGGCTCTTTAATATTATGATATATTGTTTCAATTTCTAATTTCAAATTTTTTTATAAACGTACCCTTCATTATATGAGGTTTGCGCAAATTATCTTTTCCAGTGAAAGTGAACATGTCTTTATTTAGTACTCTGATTTTGAATTTTAATTCATTCAATCTTGCAATGAAAAAAATTATTTTATTTAGTAATATTTAGTATTAAGTGATTATTTGTATGTATTCTATTAATGATTCTAAAATGCTACCATTTTTATAGATTTATTTTACCATTGTATTATTCAAAATATTATTTTGTTATTTTTATGATATAATTTTTAATGGATTATGATTTTTAATATCTTTCTTACGTAGATATTTCAAAATTTTTGGTATTTAAAATCTTAGTAGAAATGAAATCAAGGAGTATTTTAGAAAAATATGTGTTTAGAAAAATCTTTAACGCTTTCCTCACAAAAATATTTATTATAAAAACGAATCCTTTTTAAAAATATTTTATATTAAATGCGGATTGTACTTTTCATTTTAAATTTAACGTTCGTAATTCATAATTTTATAGACATAGTTTTTGTGTTTTTTTCAAAAACAAATTATTTACAAGTTTCTTATATTCACAAAAACAAAATCCTGGTAGGAATAGCCTGCTGTAATTTTTGATTCAGAAAAATATGAACAGAATTTTCACAAATTTTAAAAACAGGACTCTATTTTCACAAATTCACAGAATTACGAGTAAATAGCTCTTAATTTCCAAAAGCGGGACCATCTTATCACAATTTCACAAATTTGCGGGTAGATTTTATTCGAAAATAGGACCCTATTTTCACAGATTCACAAAAATACATATAGATTCTTCACAAATTCGCAAAATAAGCACACTATTTTCACAAATTCACAAAATTACGAAAAGATTTTTTACAAATTCAAGAGAATCGGACCTTTTGGCAAAATGTGTGGAGTAACCCCTGTAGTTTGATTACTAATAACAGTTTTAATAAAGATTGTTACTGATGCAGCAATTCTTATTTTTGCATACGTTTATTAAATCTGTAGACTAACTAACACTATTTATTTATGCATGATTATATGTGATTTTTTTTATTATAATAGTGTATAGGGATACACTAGATTATGCCCCTTAGATTATGTTTACTTGTAAAATTTAAGATTCCTATAAATAAAAACAGACCAGAAATTTTTTTTAAGAAACTCAGAATGTTAGCGGTGGTGCTGAAAAATTGTCAATTACAATAATTTAGAACGGTGTAAAATCAAATAGCTCTGGATTAATATCTTCCGTCACCTTAATTGGTCAAATATTGTGAGCATTTTACTATAAATGCCTATAGTTACAAAAATTAAACGTTTTGTCAATTGAAAAAAATTTGCATGAAGACAAATTTTCTTGTTGAAAAAGCGAAATACGCTGCCACATGCCGATCAACAATGTGAATTGTTTTTTGAATTTTAAACATTTTTAGTCGAATTTTCACAACTATTGAGTCGACAGGGGATATTAAATTAATTGCATACTTCGTAACAATGCTTGTTGACACTTTTTCTAGACTACAGTTGAAACATTTAAGTTACTACCTTCTCGGGTCCGCTTTAATATAAATATATAGCAAAAATATAATACATATTTAAGGTTTTTGGTCATCACTTAAATTTAAAAATATGTCGCATAAACTATGTAACTGAAACTGAAATTCCTTTTTGTCAATGCAAAACCACTTATCGCTCTGTTCCGTCCTTTTACACAAGCGTACAGAACACTTGTCAATGTTTTGTCCGTACCGAGATATTCGCATTCTTCTTTTCCTTTTATCGGTAGTACTTCAAAAAAACAGACTTCTTAACTGCCTGCATCTCCATTTCCCCATACAGACCCCGAAACTCTCGACAGAATAAAAATCATACTCCCGAACGTTAGAAGTGGGGAGGATACAATCCCTCCTTCGCTCTTTTCTTGTTCCAAAAGAATCGCGCATCAATTCCAACGCATCCTCTCTCTCCTCCAGAGAAAAAGCTCCAGAGCCTCTCGATTCCGCAGTTACCCCTCTTTTCTTTAAAGCTCAGCGGAGAACGCTTCTTTTCCCCTCTTTCCTCCGAGAAAGATTCTTTTGCGATCATCATCATCATCATCGTCTGATCGATTTTTCATCGTTTTCATTATCGCCGTTCATTAATCGATTATCATCTGCCGGTGCTATGATGCGATATCGTCTGCTCGCTCGAACGGTTTGCGGTTCTAGTGGAACGTTTTACCCTCTTATAGAACGGCACTCGCCGTTTGGTGAAAATCATACGTAAATGATGCAAACGATTGTAATTTCAGCTGAGTTCTTTTGGTGACATTTAAATAATTTAAGCCAACTTTAAGGACTAATTTTATTATGGTGCTTTTTTAAATCCCCCATACTATTGTTACTTAATTTGAACTTATCAATTACGCGTTTTACTATTACTCATACACAATCACCGTGCCAAAATTATTTAACAATTAAGATAGTATCTTGAATTAAAAATTTCTTGAAAGTAAAAGAAGAAGAAAAAATTGGTAAAAAAACTTAATTCTAATTCATCTCCTCGCAAAATGTTTTAGAAACGTTTAGAGAAAGTAGTTTTTTTTAGTTAATTATTCCTTATATATAAAATAGTTTCCGGGTTATTAACCATCAAGTTCTTCTCTTACCACAAAAGAACCATAAATTAAGTTAAACTTTTCGATCATAATATTTCAGATGTTATGTACACATACCTTACGTGAAATTCTCTGCCAAGCATTTGATTTTAATATTTCTACTCGCTTATGATAACAGTAAATGTTCTCATTAGTTGTCGTATTATATTTGACTTGTGCACAGTGTGGAAAATGAAATTTGAAATTAATTGCTAGGAACTTTTATATTTTCTCATAAGAATTGTTTTTAAATGATTGCTAGCGCTTCTACAATAAAAGTTTAAGAAGCGTTCTTGCTGTATATTTTATAGACGTTTATTTACCCATGCTTAAAAACTTTATAAAAATGTGAACTTTTACATTTGAATGCAGTCTTTGCCTTATTATTGCAATTTATGCCAGGCCAATGGCCGGCTAACTACAAGGTGTCTTCTTTGTCCTCTAGCTGTTCAACGGGGGCGGGTACCCCCGAGTCAGCATGGCCTACCTGGACAGATCCCACTGACCAACGGTGACCTCAACGGTGCTCACTCTTATCTCTCAAGTTTCATCTCATTATTGTTGAGGGCTGAACCTTATCCACCATCCAGGTACGCCCAGTGTATGCAACCGAACAATATTATGGGCATTGACAATATCTGCGAACTTGCTGCAAGGTTGCTCTTCAGTGCTGTTGAGTGGGCACGGAATATACCATTCTTCCCTGACCTTCAAGTGGCTGACCAGGTGGCGCTCTTGAGGCTTGTTTGGAGCGAACTATTTGTGCTGAATGCCTCACAGTGCTCTATGCCCTTGCATGTGGCCCCCTTGCTTGCAGCGGCTGGACTGCCTGCTTCTCCTATGGCTGCAGACAGGGTGGTGGCCTTTATGGACCACATAAGAATCTTCCAAGAGCAAGTTGAGAAACTGAAAGCCTTGCACGTAGATGCAGCAGAGTACAGTTGTCTCAAGGCCATCGTCCTTTTCACCACCGGTAAGTACTTTACTATACATTTTTAACTAATATTTCGGACCTGTTAATTTGACCAACAGTTTAATCTTATTCTCTGTCTAAGCAAAGCCATTGGTAAAAATATGAATTTAGCCTTTTTGAAGTTGTCAACTTTTGCAAGTTTCTTTGAGTTGGTCAACTTAGCAGATTTCGATAGATTTAGATAAAAAAAAGATTGCTACTACTATCTGTATCTAATCCTATTATGGCTTTTGCTATTTTACACAGTTTTCAATAGATGGTATGCGTCATCACTAACTAGATAACCTAGGGATGTTATCGTGTAGTGCCCTAATTGAAAACTAAGACAATTCTATATTGAAGCACATGGTCCAATGAGTTAATTGCTTTTCGGCTATTGTGTGATTTAAATGCTTTCTATTCGACGATAAAATTAAGCTGGGGTACACTAGTTTAAGATTAAAGCAGGAAGCCCTTTCATATTCTTTTCATAACATAGTTCACTTTTAAATCTTGAAGTTCCTTAAAAGGTTTTGTGGTAAAGTTTTAACAAAAATCTTATTTGTTTTCATACAATAAGTTGTACATGACAAGTTGACGATGTGATTTGCACACAATAAGATCAAATTGAATACTTTCGATCTTTAGAATGGTTCACTTTGGAGCTTTTGAATGGAGCAATTGCTTTAAGTGGTTTGTTTGTTCATTGAATGCAATAAAATAAATTGTATAAATCTGTACGGAATTTAAATATTTTTATTTATTATATTCAAATATTAGGCCATTTGCTAACTCTCTTTAAACTCTCTAACGCTCCCGTAATATATTCGATAGCATATATTTAAAATACATCATCATCGTATTTGGCACTACAGCGGAGGCTATAGCCTACCTTCCTTTCTGTTGAGAACTCTTTCATGTCATGTTAGACAGGTTTATCAGTTTTTCACATAATTCGCTTTAGATATTGATTCAACATAATTTAGCCATTTCAGTTTTTCCATTTAGCCATTTCAGTTATTCTTTTTCTTTTTTCTTTTCACTTTTAAGGACTCTTCATCATAGCAAAGATCTTGATTATGAGATTTTTGCATTAGTTTTAGCAGTATGAGAAGCCCAGTTCATTCTTAGACTTTAATTCATATATATTCGCTTAATTCATCTGAAAAACCAGCGCTTTTTCAAAAAAAAGCGATATATTTAACGCAGCTACCTTCATCATATAGAATTTCGTTTGATGATTTAAGTACATTCGTTTATGCGTTGGATTTTTGAGTGGCTCTTTAATCTTAAAGCAGCACTTGACCTTTTGTGCGCCTTTTCGATCTTTTTTTTTTCTTCTCCTATGTGGTCGACTAGAAGTGGGTTAAAGAAACAAAGCCAAGGTGTTCTAGTTGAAATCATCTCTTTATTATGAGAAATTGAGCTATTATTTTAATAATGATCTTAACTGAGAATTAATGATGTTTGTCGACTACTGATGACAATTTGAAGCTAAGTATAGCTAGTCAGTGATGTCGCTAGAATCTAGAAATTACGGATCCTTGGAACGCAGGACTTCCATATTTCTGGGTCCCATTTTACTAAAAGTGGATTCCTATATGAACTATAAATATTACGGTGGTAATGACATTATCCATCTAATAATATGCACAATTTCACATTCAAATTATTCTAAACTGTAAATTCTGCAGGGGTAAGGAAATTATCCCTCTATTAATATGCACAATTGCACATTCGAAATTTTTTTTATCTGTTGACAGAGGAAGTAAAGCAGGAAGACTTATATTTGAATAATCAATACCTAGACTTACATTTGAATAGGACTAATCAAACTCCTTCATTAAGGAAAAGCTATGATATAATTTGATACTTATAATTATTGTAATTTTATCCTTCAGCTTTTCATTAAGAAGAAAATTTTTATCTTGCGCATTTAAAATTTGGTTACGATTTTGCCAACATAAATCTGCTATAGCGTTATTTTTTTGCTCAACTGCAGAATTTTGATGGCCCCGGGAACTCGCCATGACTTAGATTTCGCGTCCTACCTCTGTATTTTGGTGTATTTGGCGCATTATAGCGCGTTAACCTAGTATTGAATTTGCATAGTGTCCTACACCATTTAAAAGATAAAGAGGAATCAAATTTTCTAGAAAGTGCTTCGTCATTCTTCGACACAATTATTATGCTTTTTTAAACTGCCTAAAGTTAAAGTAAATAGAGAATCTAACTACAAAGTGAGAGTTTGTATTACAATGAAATTAACTTTGGTATAGAAAAACAATTTCGTTTTAAACTGGAATTAAAAAGAGTTTATTACATGGTGAAGGTATTAGATTGAAACTATGTTTCTTAAGTTATGGGTCCTGCCTCACTTCACACTGCTAAAATTTTTGCTGAATGTTAAACTACAATATCATTGAAAGCTGTTAGTGCAACATTAATATGCTAAGCTTAACCATGTAACCGTGCTTCTTAATTACACAACACTATGGTTCAACTGGGATTGAAACTTGCTTCAATTTAGTAGTTTGTTAATGTTGCTCCAAATTAAGTACTGATATTATGGTGGAACGTAAAATCCATTTTTGAAATCCAATTTAGAATCTAATTTTGGTACATAGCAAAGAGATTTTAAATTTCATAAAAAGCTGAATTAAACTTGAAAATCTTCATCGAGTTGCATAGTAGATAACACTGAAAAAAATTATTTTATTGAAAAAAAATATATACTTAATTTAAAATTAAAATAAAAAGAGAGAGCAGTATACGTAGACAAGTGACTTACATTGAATTATAAGAATTGTTGATGCATAAGTACTACTTTTTCTTTTTTTTAGACTACTTTGTTGTATTAAAATGTTTTTTTCTTTTTAAAACTACAACACAAAATCGTTACAACGTGATCATTTTTTATAAATTCATCGTAATAATTACTAACTTTTTAAATTAGCTTTACATGTCTTTGGATTTCCATTGATGATCCACTTTTGTAAAAAACTTATTTTGAAAATATATTAAGTTATAAAAAAATTAAATAAAATAAATTTGCGAACCTATTCGTCAAGGTTTTCCTTATCAAGTTTTAATAAATTTTACTCTGTATTGCATGCATTTAAAATGTATTGGAAAATATGATTAATGATTTCTTTATTTAAAATAATACTTGAAAAAAGCTTTGAGTGAAAATTCTTTAGTTCCAAATAGTTTATTTAAAATTAGTTAATTCTTTCTACAGGGTTTAGTTAATTTATAAATTAATTGTAAACATTACATCGCATGTACTCAAAATGCTTTCAAAACCTATGTTGTTTTGATTAGAGAAAAAAACATCTAGCTTTCATAAGTTTTTCTGTTTACTGTTCAAATTAGTTTTTAGTAAAATTAAAAAAAAAAAAGTTTATGTGAAAAGTATTTTTCTTAGTACTATTCAGTCATAATACAAACAGTAACTGAAGTAATTAAAATAACGGCCGACAATCATTAACCCTATTCTCTGAGTTTTAAGTTTCCGCGCTTCTTCTCTTTGTTTCCCGCTGTTGGGAGGAGGCTATTTTGCTATTCTTAAATCCGATATGGAAGAGTTAATTTATCGCCAAGAGCGTTTGCTGCGGTCGGAACTATATTTGCCGCTTTGGCCTCATTTTCCTTACCTCACTGATCTTGTTCCCACGCTTGCATCGCTCTTTCCCGTGGAAAACGGCATAGTTGTGTATGCCACTCGTCTTGTTTTTAAACTAATTTAGACATTAGAACAATTCATCTCTTAACTCAAGTTGAAAGATCAGCTTATGATAAAACTTATTAATGGTTTTTGCAGTAATATAGTTTCATTAGCAGTTTAGAACTGTAAAAACTAAATTACTACTGTGTTAGTATCTTTTCACGCTGGGCGAGGTTTAATTCACTTGGCTCTTGTATATGAATGTTAATAATTAGGCGATGGTAATAAAAAATTTTTTTATCCTTCATAAATATTCAACTTATATAAAAGAAAATTATTGTTAATATCGAGTTCACCTCTGGAAATTCATGATTTCTTTATAGATTAATTGTAGCAGTTACTTTGACTCTTTAGTCATAAAATTTTAGAATAAATAAAAATCAAAAGTAAATGGCTAAATTAAAGAGGTTTTGTAAAAGATTGCATTTATTTGGAACTGATGCTGCCTTAAAATGCTTAAAATATACGAGTAAATTGATTTAACTACTCTGCACTCAAATGAATACGGTTTCAAAAATTAAAATCCCGATAAAGTTTCAGATTCAATTAGGATAAAATTTGAACTCATTCATATTCCTCAGTTACTATTGCAAACTCCTCAACAATTTTGTTTTTAAATTCAATTCCTATTTAATTATTGATTGCTTGAAAGCTTCGGTATCAAATGTTACATTTAAGATATTTTTTAATAAAGAAACATAGCCTAGTTTTAAACCTATAACTTGGAATTAAAATCATAATCGTTCTGATAGCACACTATGATAAATATCACAGGAGTAAACACATGGAGAAAGATAAATATATTTAAATTAGGGATAAAAATATTTTACAGCTGAACAGTTCATTTGTAAATTGTACAAACTTTATGCTTTTGACAACCGAAGAAATCTGGATCTTAATGTGAGACAACTGTATCTCATACCATATGTTTTGTGGGGAAAAAGGAATAAGTCGGCAAAAATTATAAAAGCTCATCTGCCATTACTGTTATGTTATTTAGAAGTTTGCATAAGAAAGTGACCCTATTTCAGGATTATTAATTTAATATAAAAATCGCAGTAAATTTGAAAGATTATTATCATTGAATACAATCCAAAGAGTAACAGTATTCGTTAGGGATTTCCTTGCAACTTTGAACAATATTAACGTAGAATACGATCCAAAGAGTAACAGTATTCGTTGGAATTTCCCTGCAAATTTTATCAATATTAACGTCGAATACGATCCAAAAAGTAACAGTATTCGTTGGGGATTTCCCAGAAAATTTGAATGATATTAACGTAGAATGCGATCC